CGTAGTACGCCGCCTGCGCGCGCGCGCGGTCGACGCTCGCCGCGTAGGCCGGCTGCGGCTGCTGGTAGGCCGGCTGCTGCCCGTAGGCCGGCTGCTGCGCGTAGTAGGTCTGCTGCTGCTGGTAGTAGGCCTGCTGCTGCTGCTGCTGCTGCTGCTGCTGCTGCTGCACCTGGAGCCTGCGGGGCGCGCGCGTCGCCGCGCGCGGATGCCGGAAGCGGGCGCGGGCCGCGCGCTGGTGCTGCTGCCAGCGCTGCTGCGCCTGCGCCTGGGCCTGCTGCTGGGCGTACTGCGCGGCGTACTGCGCCTGCGCCACCTGCTGCTGCTGCTGCTCGTACTGCTGCGCCTGCGCCTGCGCCGCCTGCTGCTGCGCCGCCGCCGCGTACGCCGCGCGCCTGCGCGGGAGCCGCGGCGTCCCTACGCCGTCCGCCGCGCGGCGACGCGGGCCGACGCGCCAGTCGCCCGCGGGAGGCTGCGCGCCGCCGGGCGCCGCGGCGCCCGTCGCCTCGGTCACGCAGGCGGCCTACGCGTCGGACGCGTCGGCGCGCGCGGCGCGCGCGTCGGCGGACGGCGCGCGGCGCGTCGGCGGACGGCGCGCGGCGCGCGCATCACCGGACGCCGGCGCGCACGGCCCAGTGGCCCTCGGTCGGCGCGGCCATGGCGCGGCCTCGGTCGGCCCGGCTCTCAGGTCGCTCGCGCTGCTACTGAGATGAGCCCATCATGCCACAGCGTCGGGGCCCCGGGGCCGGGGGTCCGGCCTGGTCCGAGTCCTCCGGAGACCTCACCGGAGGCAACGCGCTCGTTACGGGATCGCGCGCGGCCGCGCGCGGTCTTCGCGGCCGCCCTAGCACGGGTCGTTGATGTCGGCGACGAGGGCGTCGAAGGCGGCGAAGACGTCCTTCTTCGCGTAGCAGAGCGTGCCGCCGCCGCGGGACGCCTGGCTGTACTGGCGGTTGATGTCGCCGACGCAGGCCGCGCCCGCGGACGCGGCGGACACGGCCCACTTGCTGTGGTCCTGGGTCTCGAGCCAGGACGCGCCCGCGCACGTCACGTTGAGCACGTCCTCGACGTCCTCGTCGAAGCCGGCGCTCTTGCAGGACGACGGGATCTTGTTCTTCAGCTCGCCGTTCATCCAGGACTCGACGCGGAGGGCGCCGAGGTCCGGCGCGACGACGTCCTCGTAGAGCTCGCAGTCGCACGCGGCCGACTTCGCGTAGTGCGTGAACTCGCGCGAGTCGACCTAGACGAACGTCGTCGACGCGACGTCGCGACGTGGTGCTCTCTGAAATGACCTCGCCGAGAGCCAACGATGCGTCCGAACATCGGCCGACACGGCGTCGATGCGAGCGAGCGCGGTGCGACAGGGTCGCCGGTCCGGCGCGGGCGTTTCCGGCGCGGGCGCCGACGGTCGAGAAGGTCTTCGTCGACGACTTCGCCGTCGACTTGACGTCGGCCAGGGTCGCGTTGAAGGACGGCGCGGCCGCGGCGAGGTCGTCGGACACGGACGAGTCGTAGTGCTGGGGCCAGTGGAGCATCAATTGCGCGCCGACGTCCTCGAGCTTGGAGGTGTCGAGCGTGAGGCACACGAAACTCTGGCCGTAGGTCGTGTCCGGCAGGCCGCCGTAGCCCTTGGACCGGCGGTCCGGGTAGCGCGGCAGCGAGTGGATGAGCCAGAAGCCCTGGTCGCCGTCGAAGAGCACGGCGCCCTTGCTGTGGCCGCGCGTCTCGCTCTTCG